CACGGTAGTTGAGAGTAGAAGGGCAAAGCAGGCGCTTTGTGAATGAGCGTTGTACTTTCTCAATTGCTATTCGGTCACTCCTTCTAGAGTTGGTAACTATTATTGAGCAGTATTCTAGAAGAGGTCTAGCGCATACCTTGTATCGAGTGAGTCTGGTTTCGGTTACGAACAGTCTCTTGCAGATATGACCAATGAAGGATCCGGCTTTCGCTACACTATAGCTAACTTGTTATGAGAAATTTAGTGAGCTTGAATAGTTTACTCCGAGATCCTTTACGGCTTGACAGACGGCTAGTGAGACGCCATTCAGGGTCAGCGCACTAGGCAGCACAGTGTATCTGTACGACTGAACGCTGTACTTTGCAGAAGTCAAGCTTCCATGTGTTGCACCAAGAGTCTAATGCTTTAAGATCATTTTGAATATTGAGGAGACCGCTCCTAAGGTTACCCGGGTCAAAGGAGAATACGGCTTTGATATCATCGGCGAACAGGTACGCCGTTTTTCTTCTCATCCTTGTTCTACAGGATAACATTACCTGCACCAAACACCGCTGAAGACGTACCTGCGACGCTCCCATGGGCACGGATTCAATAAAGAACAAAGAAAATACCCGCATTTCATAATCGTGACACACTAAAGAACCTAGGAAACTGATCAATTCAATACAAGTCACCTGAGTCGTCCGACTTTAACAGCTCCAACCACTTGTACTGGACTCCGAAGGCGATTACACAGTCAAAGGAAACAAATTGGCGTTACGTGAATGCGAATATCCGCGAGGGCAATCGGTCAGATACAAACTTGCCAATGTTATACCAACAGCCGACATTGTTCCAGGACGTGGTGGGTCTTCGTCTGGCAAGTGTTTCCCCACAAAATGCCACAAATGTCTGTTTCACAACACTGCGACGTGGCGGATGTGACTCGCCACTTAATAAAGTCACCGCTCCTAACACATTGGCAAGTTGACCGACACCACATTTACAAGTTCTGTGCATATATCGGCTCTCGCACGAACACGCCTACATATCTGATTAGTGACATACCACTATTCTTAAGTATTTTTTCACCCGTTTCCTCATACTTCACTCACTGACTTACATTGCTTACGGGACCTCATCGGACTAGTTCCTCATCAACATACCATATAAGTGATCTGATTAATATCTTTACCTCTCGCATTCTGTGTACATAGACTACATACAACATTTGGGCTCTATGGGCCCACACTACTGTCTCCAACTGTATACTCCCACTGTTGGTGCTGCTTATTCAGCTATCATGTACAATAATGCAATATGCTGATCATGCCCAAAAGGCGTGTCTCGCTTTGTTGAGAATAAAATATTTATTTATTTATTTATTTACTCAAGACTTGAAATATGGCTTTGATGTAAATTAGGAAGAGTATAGGACCCAGTACACTTCCCTGGAACACACCACTCGTAACTGGTTTGAGTGAGGATTCGTTGATCATGCCTGGTCTGGTGTGTCTCGAAAATTCGGGAATATTTGAC